TAATTCCACAATAAAAACAAGTAGGTTGAAAGTGACTTCTATATCTAGGAACATAATTCTTTTTCTTCACAACTTTTTTCTTGTTATGATTTTGATACTGAATTTTAGAAGTGCTTGCCTTTTCTTTAACAACTTGTTCACTTGCTCTTACAAAAATGGTCTCATTGGTGCTTGGTTTTGAGAATTTAGAATATCCTAATCCACTTTTATCATTAGGATATCTTTGGTGCTTAAGAATTTCTTCCAAGCCAATTTGACCTTTTTCGTATCTTTCTAACACTCTTTTAAGTTGAACAATTTGAAAAGATAAGGATTCACAATTCTTACATACAAGACTTTGTTTTTCATCCATCAATTTCTGTTTTTCATTTTCAATATTTTTCATAAAAACAGAATTTTGTTCTTCTAAAGATGAAATTCTTTTCTTTTGTGATGAGATGCTTTTATACAAAGTCTTGCATTCTTTTAGAAGTTCATCTATAACTTCTTGTGCATCATTATCATAAACAGAAAAATTGCTACTAACCTCATTTTCTTCATCGGAGTGGTGTGAAGCCATTAAAGCCATATTTGCACATTCATCGCTTTCTGATTCCGATGATGAACTTATCTCGTTATCGTCCCATGCGACATAAGCCTTTTTATTTTTGAAATCCTTTTTGCCTTTGAATTTTCCTTTATTTGCGAGTTTCGGGCAATCCGGCTTTATGTGACCTTATTTCCCACATTCGTAACATGTGACTTCTTGATTTGATGTGGATACCTCCTTTTTCCTGAAATGTCTATTCTTTTTAGAAAAAGAGGAATTTTTATTATTATTAAAAAACTTACCAAGCTTCTTTACTAGAAGCATGAAATTTTCGTCTTCGAAAGATTCGTCATTTTTGTCATCCTTTGTGTCAATCTTCAAGGCAATTCCTTTAGACTTCTTGTCTTGACTTTCATGCTTCTCAAGCCTTCCAAGTTCCAGTTCATGCTCTTGAAGTTTGCCAAATAAGGAAGCGGATGTCATCGTTGAAAGACTCTTCTTTTCCGAAATAGCGGTCACCTTCGGTTGCCATTCTCTTGTTAAGGATCTTAGGACTTTCAAGTTGAGATCATCATTGGTGAAGGTCTTCCCGAGAGCAATCAAATGATTTGTTAGATGAACGAATCTCTTTTGTAAGGCAACAATGGATTCACCAGGCTGTATACAGAACATTTCATATTCTTGACTTAAAGTATTAAGTCTTGATCTTTTTACTTCGGCTGTCCCTTCATGCGTTTCTACCAAGGTGTCCCAAATCTCCTTTTCCGATTTACACTGTGATATACGGAAGAATTCGTCCATACTAAGAGTGCTTTGAAGTATGTTGATTGCTTTCTTCTCATTTAAGATTCTCCTATTGTCATCTTCATCATAAGAGGATTTTATCTTTGGAGTGCCTACGTTATTTATGACGCTCATAGGAACATGCAGACCATTTTCCACGATTTCCCATATGCCGTCTCCTTGAGCCTCAAGATGTGCTTTCATACGGATTTTCCAAAAATCGAAGTATTCTCCAGAAAAGAGTGGTGGCTTGTTACTACTTCCACCATCTTTGAAAACCGGGTTGTTACTTGCGGAAGCCATACTGAATCGTTGGGAACAGGTTACCTTAACCTGCTCTGATGCCAAATGTAAGTACAGAGTATGCCTAAGAGGGGGGGGGGGGTGTATTAGGCCTTTTAAACTTTCTCCGATTTTTATACTTTCTTGAATTTTGCTGGTTAATGATCTTGAAAAGGAAAGCAGTAATGGCAGAAAGTGAAAAGATGACACGATGATTTATAGTGGTTCCCTTCATAATCCGAAGGTACTCCACTCCCCTTTCCACATGAAAGAGAGTTTTCACTATTGTTTTAGAAAGTACAACCTATCACACCATCAACCGGTGAGGCCTACAATCTAACAACAAAACAAACTAGTGTGCAAGAACAATCCTCTTACAAACACTAACCCTTGTGTCCAACAATCCTGGATCACAAGTCACAACAAACTATTCTGTAATTCTTTTTTATGATTTGAGAGTACAATAGTAATATCAATACAAAGATTAATCTTCTCCTTTAATCAGAATTCACAACTTAATCTCAATACAAGTGTTCAAACAAATGGATGTGAAAGGTTATGCAAGTATGAACACTTTTGAATGTATTTGAAATTATTTGAAAAGTAGTGAATATGATTTAATGATTGTTTTTGAAAATTGTTGGAGGTGTTTATTCAAAAAGAAATTTTCAGAATTTATATTAGTAAAAACACCCATTCAAAAAGGTATAATTATGTGTAATTCAAAAGACGAAATGGTATAACAATCACACAACATTTGAATTCAAAACAAAGCAATTTTTTAGAAAACGTTCAGTGTTAATCGGTTAACCTATATGGTTAATCGGTTAACACTGGAACGTTAGGCCAGAAAATTGAAGTTTTGAAATGGTTAACCGGTTAACCTATATGGTTAATCGGTTAACACTGTTATTTTTCAGAAAAATACTTAATAAAACAATGTTATACCAATTCCAACTGTTTCAAAAACATGTTCATGCACTATGATCAAATGATAAATTATTTGAACACTTGTATATCAATTAAATTAGAGAATTTTGATATACCATAGCTTGTGTCCAAGTCTTGAAAGGTGATCGAGCAAATGTACATGAAGCTTGAATGTTGATCATTTCCATAATACTTTGATCTTGGTCTTTTGAAAGCTTTTGACTTTTTGCACAGATGAAATGAGTTTGAGTCTTGTTGTTGACGTCATCAAAACCTTGAGATGAAGCATGCTTCTACACTTGAGTTCTTATTTCAAAGGGACACGTGGAGAAAGTTGGAAGACAAAATGCAGAGCTGAACGTGGCGAACCAAAGGAAAAAAACGTTAGATGGTAGTTATATATATATATATATATATATATATATATATATATATATATATATATATATATATATATATATATATATATATATATATATATATATATATATATATATATATATATATATATATATATATATATATATAAGTTCATTTTATTGGATTAAGGGTGTTCATTTGTATTACAAAAATCTCACAAAAAAACTCGAAGTATAAGCGTTAAGAGAAACGAGCGAATGCCTAAGAGAATGTAAGTACAAATGAGACATCATGTTTATTGTTCAATACAAAATTTCCTAATTCATTCAATTTACATTGGTTTTATCATTTTCATCTTTTCCCTAGCCTTTATTTTTCATTTGAGCACTGTCAGCATTGTTATTTTTACTTTACATTTTCTACAAAAAGATTAGATACTCACTATTATATTATCCTCACACATCCCATTCGACATAGTTGAAGCCAATAATATTAAGACACGGAGAAATTAACAATGAACAAGTCCTTAACCACTATGTCCTAAGAATTCACTTGTTGATCTTACTAGTAAACCATATATTTGGAGACCAGCGGTTGTTTACCATTTTTCAGGGTAAACACACACTTTCTAATTTCTCTTAGCGACTAGTAAGTTCCTTTTCGCCGAAGGTAGTTGTTGATAGCGCTAAGTCCCTTATGTCTTTGGTTTCCTCAATTTCCAAGTCTTTGGAGTTTGTCGAAAGTCTCGTCCTCGACATGGAGCCGAGTTCTTACCTAGGTCTGTTTCTGAGACTCTTCCAAATCATATCTCAAGATCTACACTTAAGATTCTTTCAAACCACATCTCAAAATGTTAGCCGAAAAGCCTTAGTCATAGTACCATTGCTGCCGACTCCTTCCAATCAATGCTAAAATTTAACGACTCCTTCCAATAAATGCTAAAATTTAACATTTTACTAATGCAACGTTCATTTAAGTTTTTCTACTAAGTAAAAATGTCAGGCTAACACATCCATCTTCAAAAATTACCTGACCAAGATAAAGTTTTAAATTTTTTGTACAACATTAATGATCAATAGTGTCATGTTCACTCACAAATCATGATGATTGAGCCTCTACCCTCCCTTGAAAAGACTTTCTCGCTTGTTCTTGGTCAAAGAAAAACAACTCACTTTCCCCACTCCAATTCCTCTCATCTCTAAAAACCAAACCCTAGCTTCTCAGGTTCAACCTTATAGTGGAAGTGGCTGTGGTTCCCAGAATTCTTCCTTCAAAGGTAGGGGTTGTCATAATCATAACAATAGACGTGGTCACACTCAGGGATATATTCGTATCTGCACACACTCACACTGTGAAAGAACAAACCACATTGTTGAGAATTGCTTTGCCAAACGCGGTTATCCGCTGGTTTTTAGCATCGACCCAGATACTAATGCCACCTTCTTTCTGTATTTCTAATTCTGCTTTTACTTATCACACCGCTTGTACTTTAGATACTAATGCCACCTTATGGCACCTTAAATTAGATTGCAAATTAGATTGCTGGAACATATCTATATAAAATGAATTAGATGCCTTAATTTCCATAGTTGATTTACAGGCTAAAAAAACTATAGGATGTAAATGGATATACAAAATCAAGTATAATGGAGGTGTCTCTTCCAAAAGGTTTATCACACTATGGTTTCTCTAATTATGAAAAAAAATTAAGAAATGTTAGATTATTTTATAGGCTCTGATACTATATTAGAGTTTGGCCTAACACTACCCTAAAAACCTGGTTGGTAACTTTATATAAACTTTTTCAATGCTCTATCTTCAACCAATGTGAGACTTTAGGATCTTCCTAATAGTTAGACCTCTCATGAAAAGCAGGCAGTATTAGCTTTTTTTCATAACTCATCCTTCAATTATTGTACTAGAGTAATCTTTTTCCTTTCCTTTAAAAAAAAGTGGAAGCAAAATCTACTTTAGTGCAACATTTTGTAGTGGACAAATAATTGAAGATAGAGTTGATTTGAGATTTATCAGGTGAAACACCATCTTTGATGAGCAAATTCTGTGGCACTCTCGTTTTGAATAGGTTAACTTTATCTTCATTTTTGAAACAATATTGATGATGATAAGGTTTCAAACAAAGAAACAAGTTGTATGGATATATTACTTATGGGTGTGGTGGTGGACTACTAGTATCTGTGTTAAAGCAGAAAATGATAGTTTGAAGGCAGGTGAAATATTAGATTCCAACTCCACTCTATGCTCTAAGCAAGCCAGGTATTGTCTATTATTCCAAGAAATAGTATTCGGTTCATCTGATACTGATAGCGAAATTAAATATAAATACTTGGTTGTAGAATTTAATGCTAGTATAGATCAAGGACCAATAGTATGGTTGTATGCTAGAAACCAACCGGTTGTTACTGAATCAGCGGTTTTATCTCTTAACTACTCTGGTGTGCTCAAAATTGAATTTCAATATAGCAAAGAAATAATCATTTACTCTTCACCTCAACCTATAAACAATACTGTGGCTACTATGCTAGACACAGGTAACTTTGTACTTGAACAACTTCACCCCAATGGAACAAAGACTTTACTGTGGCAGAGTTTTGATTATCCATCAAACGTTTTGATCCCAACGATGAAGTTAGGTGTTAATCGGAAAACTGGACATAATTGGTCATTAGTTTCGTTCTTGAATCCTTCCATGTCAATTTTGGATGAATTTAGTCTTGAATGGGAACCAAAAGAAGGGGAATTGAACATGAAGAGACGCGGGATAGTGTATTGGAAAAGCGGAAAACTTGGAAATAATGGATTGTTTGAAAATGTTCCAGCAAATGTTCAACAAAATTATCAATATGTTGTTGTCTCTAACAAGGATGAAGATTCTTTCAGTTTCAAAATTAAAGACCGGAATTATAAGAAGTCCCCAATGTGGGTTGTATCCTCTGAGGGGAGCCTCGAGAATTTGGAAGGAGAGATTGGAGATGCAGATAATTGTTATGGATATAATACTGATAGAGGATGCCAAAAATGGGATATACCATCTTGTAGGAAACCCGGTGAGGTGTTTCAGAGAAAGCTAGGCCAACCCGACATTGACAATGCTGTCATCCAAGACAATGTCAGTATTGGTTACACTGATTGTAAGGCGAGATGTTGGAGAAACTGTGGTTGCAATGGATTCCAAGAAATGTATATTAATGGAACTGGATGTGTATTGTATTCATGGAATTCTACACAAAATGTTGATTGGGAGAATGAGAATAAGTTTTACCTCTTGAAAAAGCCAGCAAAGTTATCCCCAAATCACCATGGTAAGTCTAAATTAATTTTTATTAGATGTTTGGTTACCTATAGCTGATGATCTATAATATAAATCCAAAATCTTACCATAGTAAATCTGTAGTTAAATATGGTTCATTATACCATAGTAAATCTGTAGTTAAATAATGCTTGCTTTTACTACAAGTATCTCACAAAATACTCAATGCAGGTAAAAGAAGGTGGATATGGATAAGTGCAGCAATAGCAACTCTTTTACTCACAATATGCACACTCATTCTTTGGATAGTAATAAAGAAACATGGATATGGACTTAAAGGTACTTGAATACTTAAAAAATAATAGTCGAATACATACTTTTAAAATCAAATGCATTTATTTTGTCTCTTTAATTTTTCTTGCTATGCAGAGAAGAAAGCTAAAAGAAAGGAGAATGAGGTGCAAGAGTTGGACACTTCCGATGAATTATATAGTATCAAAAATCTAGAAGATGATTTCAAGGGACATGATATAAAAGTTTTTAGTTATGCATCAATTTTGGAAGCAACTATGGACTTTTCTCCTAAAAACAAGTTAGGACAGGGAGGCTACGGACCCGTTTATAAGGTGGGTTAAAACAATTAAAATAAATGGTTGTAAAAACAGTTATGAATAAAATCAAATATTTTTAAAGATTAGGTGCTAAAGAACTGAAACCATCTCAATATGATAATAATGAAGATCTTTTACATCTTAACAATCTTTCCATATTTTTTGAAATATTGTTTTTAGATTATTGATGTTTTTTCTCTTACAAGTTCAGGGAATCTTGGCAACCGGGCAACAAGTTGCTGTAAAAAGACTTTCAAAAACTTCTGGACAAGGAATTATTGAATTTAAAAATGAATTGGTACTGATATGTGAACTTCAACACACAAATCTTGTGCAACTACTTGGTTGTTGTATTCATGAAGAAGAAAGGATTCTAATTTACGAATATATGCCAAACAAAAGCTTGGATTTCTATTTATTCGGTGAGGAATATGTGATGTTTTTAATGACAAATACATCAAACCTATTTTGATTTTTAACTAGATATTTTAGTGACTAATGTGGAGTGTACATTTTAACTTGGAAGATTCTACAAAAAGGAAGTTACTCGATTGGAAGAAGCGCTTCAACATTATAGATGGAATTTCTCAGGCATTACTCTATCTTCATAAATATTCAAGACTAAAAATCATTCATAGAGACTTGAAAGCAAGCAACATACTTCTTGATGAGAATATGAATCCAAAAATTTCTGATTTTGGCATGGCAAGAATGTTCACACAACATGAATCAATAGTAAATACCAATAGGATTGTCGGGACATAGTGAGTTTTCTAAACTTTATTGTTTCTAATGCATCTTAAATACTTTTGATATTGTTAAATAATTTTTGTTGTAGTGGATACATGGCTCCTGAATATGCTATGGAAGGAATTTGTTCTACAAAGTCTGATGTCTATAGCTTTGGAGTGTTGCTCCTTGAAATTGTTTGTGGAAGAAAAAACAATAGCTTCTATGATGCTGATCGTCCACTAAACCTAGTAGGACATGTATGTAAAAACTAGTCTTGTTGAGTTTATTCTTTTTTCAAATTATATCTAATTTCATTCAATTACTATACTAGGCATGGGAGCTATGGAATGATGGCGAGTATACGCAGTTAATGGATCCATTATTAAGTGACTCATTTGTTTCTGATGAATTGAAAAGGTGCATTCATGTTGGTCTCTTATGTGTAGAACAATATGCAAATGATCGACCTACAATGTCTGATGTTATATCAATGTTGACAAACAAATATGAACATGTTACTTTACCAAAAGGGCCAGCATTTTATGTTAGAAGAGATTTCTTGCAGGAGGAAACAACTTCAGAAGTTTTGGACACTGACACCTATTCTACAACTGTAATTTCCTCTTCTGAAGTAAAAAGGCAAGAAATAAGTTTACCTGGTATAAAACATTGTTGAGTACTATGAAAAATACATAACTTTCCTTTCTTAAATCTTAGACAACAACAAATTTATGTAATTATATGTTTGTTGTCTCTGTTCTCTTAAAATTTCATGTAATTAGCATCTATTATATATTTGTATGAATTTTTTGTTATAGAGGGAAGGATTTAGGTCATAAGTTTTGTTATAAATGAGGGATTGAAGCTCATTGTTTAGAGCTCTTTGCCAATGGGGTCAAGGAAGCAGAGGAAGAGGTGGGTTTAGTAATATAGGATAAAATTGATTTTTTCAGTAAATTTTTAATCATAAAACCAAAATTAGAATATACAATTTTTCTCTCACATATTCTTATCATAAAAAACAAAATTAGAGATCACCCGACACAAGAATCATACTCGACAGAAGAAGAGCCCAACAAGAGCAAAAGCTATAAAAAAAACACAAAATAATAAACCTCTCCAAGAGACATCGAGAAGATCCACAACTAAATGGAGAAAAACAAATTCAACCCATATCCATAGAGAAACAACTAGAGGCCAACCTAAAGGACAAAAAACTCCCTGAGCGGAATCTTCCAAAAGGAAAGATGGAAAAAAATTCCATCCCAAACAAGACCATAATCATTCAAAACCGCTATTGGCTTCCTGATATATCATTTCCATGCTAGAATATGCACATATCCTCCAAGTACTTCACATTAACACATGTACTTCAAAAAACCAAATTGTTTTAAGATTTTGAGATAAACTAAACCACCGTGTTCCAAAACATGACCAGACCAACACAACCACCAGACCACCTTTAATCTTAGGAGACACATATAAGATAACATACATATCATAGAAATTTGTGAGGCATGTATAAAGGTCTTGATGTCTCGACTTTGCAAAAGGATTAGCATAAAGAATTACAATAAAACCGTTTTTATCTCAATCTTGAGGGCATTCCTTTACGGTCTAGCTATATGAGCTAGTTATCTTGGACTTTTGTGGCACGACATACCACCGCCGTTGTTGTTTCGATTATTGTCCATGTTGATGTTTCTATTGGCGTCATCCTCATTATTATTATTATTATTATTATTATTATTATTATTATTATTATTATTATTATTATTATTATTATTATTATTATTATTATTATTATTATTATTATTATTATTATTATTATTATTATTATTATTATTATTATTATTATTATTATTATTATTATTATTATTATTATTATTATTATTATTATTATTATTATTATTATTATTATTATTATTATTATTATTATTATTATTATTATTATTATTATTATTATTATTATTATTATTATTATTATTATTATTATTATTATTATTATTATTATTATTATTATTATTATTATTATTATTATTATTATTATTATTATTATTATTATTATTATTATTATTATTATTATTATTATTATTATTATTATTATTATTATTATTATTATTATTATTATTATTATTATTATTATTATTATTATTATTATTATTATTATTATTATTATTATTATTATTATTATTATTATTATTATTATTATTATTATTATTATTATTATTATTATTATTATTATTATTATTATTATTATTATTATTATTATTATTATTATTATTATTATTATTATTATTATTATTATTATTATTATTATTATTATTATTATTATTATTATTATTATTATTATTATTATTATTATTATTATTATTATTATTATTATTATTATTATTATTATTATTATTATTATTATTATTATTATTATTATTATTATTATTATTATTATTATTATTATTATTATTATTATTATTATTATTATTATTATTATTATTATTATTATTATTATTATTATTATTATTATTATTATTATTATTATTATTATTATTATTATTATTATTATTATTATTATTATTATTATTATTATTATTATTATTATTATTATTATTATTATTATTATTATTATTATTATTATTATTATTATTATTATTATTATTATTATTATTATTATTATTATTATTATTATTATTATTATTATTATTATTATTATTATTATTATTATTATTATTATTATTATTATTATTATTATTATTATTATTATTATTATTATTATTATTATTATTATTATTATTATTATTATTATTATTATTATTATTATTATTATTATTATTATTATTATTATTATTATTATTATTATTATTATTATTATTATTATTATTATTATTATTATTATTATTATTATTATTATTATTATTATTATTATTATTATTATTATTATTATTATTATTATTATTATTATTATTATTATTATTATTATTATTATTATTATTATTATTATTATTATTATTATTATTATTATTATTATTATTATTATTATTATTATTATTATTATTATTATTATTATTATTATTATTATTATTATTATTATTATTATTATTATTATTATTATTATTATTATTATTATTATTATTATTATTATTATTATTATTATTATTATTATTATTATTATTATTATTATTATTATTATTATTATTATTATTATTATTATTATTATTATTATTATTATTATTATTATTATTATTATTATTATTATTATTATTATTATCTGTCATGAATGTTGAGAAGACTTGTATATAAGCCTGATTAGTGCAGTGAGCATCCCATTTAATTTCATTACCTATTTATTTGTCATTGGTGCTTCCATCTTGATGCCTTCCTTGTAATTATTTGACTTTGTCTTTATGCAACTTTCTCTTAGGTAGCCTATCAATTTTGTGACTTTAACTCGAAAGGTAGACTTCTCCAGGTTGAATCTTATATTGTACTGGTGGATCCTCTAGAATATGTCGGCCAGGTGTTCCTCTTGCAACTTCTTAATGTTGAACTTAATGATCATGTTAACCATGCACACTTCTAATTTTTTGTCTATCTTTTCCATGAATATTTATTTATCATTCTCTGATATGTTTCCCTTGCATTCTTCAGGCCGAAAGGAAGGACATTGTATTGATAATTAGTTACTTCAGTATGAAGGTTGTCTTGTTTTTGTCTGCCTCGTACATAGGAATATGATTGTAGCCGAAGTAGGCATCCATAAATGGTAACAACTTGTAACCAACCAAATTGTCCACTAGTTTGTCTATATTTGTGAGCAGGTAGGAATCATTAGGGTGAGCTTGATTGTAATCGATGTAATCGACGCACAATCTCTACTTTCCTAAAGATCTCTTGACACACACGACATTGGATATCCATCTAATATCTCTCAAATAGTATATAAAATTGGTCTCCAGTAGACCCTAAACCGTCTTCCTGGTTGCTTTGGCTTTCTCAGTAGACTGTTGCCTTCTTCGTTGCACCATATGGAGGATTGAGGCGTCAATATTCAACTGATGGCAAGTTACGCTAAGATCAATGTCAGACATCTCGTCAAGTAAAACAGCGAGGAGGTCGACATTAGCTTTGATTTATTCGATGATCTTTTTTTTACCATGGACGATTGTTGAAACATTATTATTGTGGGTTTTTGTTATCGTATCCGCAGGGATTGGTTGATATTACAGTCGTTCTACAGTTGAAATTGTTTTAAACATAGAACATAAAAGATGTTTGTTTTGGTTTCGTAACACAACGATCACATAAAAAGTTATAAGTAACGGTAAAATAGTTTCGATTTTAAAACTATTGTTAAAAACATGTCAAGATTACGGCTCGATAATCCATTTCGTAAGTATCTTCTTAATAAAGCATGTAAACTTATTAACAATAAATATAATCACATATCCTCTCAAGATGTTTCATCTCTAAAACAGATTGTGAGTTTTATCATGATCCTTAGATGATCTCTCAACCTAACTATCAATATGATAATATTAAAGGATTAATATTAGTGAATATCAACTCACAAAACTATCTCTAAATTTTGTTCATTGATAGATGAAAAAGTTAGGTCAAGAGTTGAAACATATCTTTCAATAATGATCCAACACAAATATAAACCATAAAAGTAAGGTTTTTCACCATATACTCATCATCAACTTGTTCACATACAAAATATCAAGCGAAATACATACAAAAGTGAGGATTATCTACCTTAATCTTGACATAAGGAGAGATTTAGCTACCCATAACCATTGTAGCTTCAGCGACAACTAACCAAAAAAGCTTTTGGAGTATCAAACTTGAAAGGATCAAAGATTGAAGCTTAAAAGCCTTGATTTCTAAATGATAATGAAGAAGATGACTTTTTCTCGCTACACAAATGTTTTTATGTCACAAAAGATTCTATGAAAAGTAAGTTATGTTAAGAAAATATATCAACAAGTGCTAAAATACACATGTTCTGCCTTGGCAAATTCGCCGGGCGAGATACATCATTTATCGGGCGAAATCCTTAAGTCAAGCCACGTGACAACAGCAGTGTCAGTGGGCTAGAGAAAATATCTACATTCGCCAAGCAAAATAAAGCTCGTTGGGCGAATCCCTTTCGCTCCTCATTCGCCTAGCGAATCTGCCAGCGAATCAATTCCAATAGCTACTTGAATTTGAAACCTCTTTCGCTTCTTGCTTCGCCTAGCCTTCACCGGGAGAATCTTCTCCTTCACTTCTCCTTCACCAGGCGAAGGTGCTTTTTCTTTGACACGTGAATTTCTTCGATTCTTTACTTTTTCTTCCGATTTTTGTTGCACCCTTTTTACACAAAATGCTGAAAAACTAACAAATATATTAAAACTACTAAATATTTACACTGATGCAAGGATCACTTAATAAATAAGTTGTTTCGCAATCAGAAGCATGGAAAAATGCTTAAAAGTTCCGCAAGTTGATACGGAAGCTATTCTGTACTTGACACCTATCAAACTCTCCCCAAATTGCATCTTTGTTTGCCCTCAATCAAAGGTAAATTTCAAAATCCATAAGAACTCTTTCAAAACACCAAATCAATCGGAAAATACGCATGGTTCAAACTCGACAATCACACACACAAGATATTCTCAATCACTTGCGTAAAATCAA